TACAGCTCAAGCAGCTAACCACTTCACTTCACCCTACACTTCAGCTTCTTTCACATCATCAACATGAGCACCAGCATGGACACGTACAAGCTTCACGCCAGAGAGAAGGTCGAGCAGTACAAGGACCAGGCCAGTGACTACAGGGACGCCCTGGTCGACCGGGCCGGCCAGGCGGTCGACGACGTGCGTGGCCGCTCGATCAAGGCCGGCACCACAATCAAGGACAAGGTGACCCACCCGCTCGACACCATCGACCAGGCCCGCGACGGCTTCGACGCGGTGTTCAACGCCGAGCGGTTCGACCGCGCCCGCGACAAGATCGAGGCCGAGGCCTCGCTGGCCGTGGGCTACAAGGACCAGTTCCTGGGCGCCATCAAGGAGGCCTTCGGCCGCATGCTCCGCGACGAGCAGCTCAGGGCCGCCGGCCACCAGCAGCGCATCAAGGGACAGACCGAGGTCAAGCTCCAGAAGGCCCTCGAGGAGGAGAAGAAGTTCCAGAAGCTGCGCGCACAGATCGTCGAGGTCCTCATGCGCCGCGAGGCGCTGCTCTCACACCTGGTGCGCTCGTGGTCGCAGCCCCAGAAGCTGCGCCACGTCGAGGTCCGCGAGCGCGACCCGGCCGACCTGTTCGTCGCCGCCGGCGCCGGGCGCACCACCTTCAAGCTCAGGCACTACAACGTGCAGCCGCTCCTCAACGAGATCCGCGAGCGCCGCACCATGAAGCCCATGGTCTTCGTCGATGTGCGCGAGCGCGGCCTGATCCGCTCGATCCCGCTTACCAAGCGTGACGTGAAGGGCTTCAAGGGCCGCAGCGACCGCTACCTCGACCTGTGGGCCGCCATCCGCCGCAGCGACCCCCAGCGACTCCACGCGGTCCAGCGCTCGCTGATCCGCGACTGGTCGGCCCCGCGCCTGGACCTCCTCCGCAGCCTGGCCGCCGCCGACGAGCGCCGCAGCGAGGTGCTCAGGGAGGTGGTCTCGCCCGAGGCCCGCACCCAGCTGGTCCACGTCGCCCGTGACAACGGCGCCGGCGTTCGCCCCGGCGCAGTCAAGAAGGCCAAGGGTGGTAAGGCCAAGCTGCTCGATGAGCTGAAGCAGGGCGAGGTGGACCTCAAGCACGTGGAGACGCTGGACAAGTCCCGGCCGGCCATCGACAAGGACGTCCAGCTCAAGACCTGGGACAAGAGGGGCTTCCTCGACGAAGTCCGCCAGGGCACCGAGCTCAAGCACATCTAAGCCACCATATTCTCCTTTGCTTCTTTCTACTTCCTCTCCACCTCGACCATGGTCACCAGATGAAGAGTCAATAATGACTCCCATTTTCTTCTTTTTGTACACTTTTGTTACTCTACCCCCCTATCATCATCTTCTTTCAACCAACATTTAAATATATTCGACTTACAAAATGTTTAACATTCATTCTTTCTTTACACGCCTGGCCCCACCTCGCTCATCTCGTGCTCACGGAGCCGATCGTGGACGCTGGCCATGGCCCGCCTCCTCCGGCGCGACTTGAACCACGCCGCAACCAGGCCGGCCACAATGCCAACCACCACCAGCACCACCGCTCCGCCCACCAACCCTAACCAGCCACAACACCGTACACGAATCAGAGAGAACAACACACCTGCGAGCATCCCATGAAGCGGCGGCCGGTACCGGCGATGAGGGCGGTGAGGAGTGTGTTGTCGTCGCCACCACAGCCCGACGACGACGGCTTGATGAGCACGGCGTACGAGGTGGACGACGTTGCGCTTCGGTAGTTCGGCGGGCACTGGCGGTTCTGGTTGAAGTTGATCTTCACCTTCTGAAAGGAGGACAGCGGACCGCCAGTCTGGCGTCTGGCGGGCGTCTCAGCCGATGCGCCGCACTGGCCCTCAGCCGCGCTCACGATGGTAAAGGTGTAGGCCTGGCGGGTATCCAGGCGGAAGTCGATGTCCACCACCAGCGTTCCATTCAAGCTCGCACAACCTGCCCAACATACCATGTCAGTGTGCGGTGCGCGTCTTGGGTGTGGTGTGCCGTGTGTCGTGTGTGGTGTGTGGTGTGTCGTGTGCGTCAACGTTGGAAGTTGTGCCTGATGACCGGATGGCGCCGAAGGAATCCTTGCCTGTGGCCGAGAAGCGGATGGTCGCCGTAGGCTGGAGCACGATGTTGCCCACGATCTCCACCGGGGCGTTTCCGGCGTAGACCACCTCGGCGTCCCCAACCTCGAGGGCGCCGCTCACCAGCCAGGTGCCGTTGGTGCACTTGGCCGGTTGGCCCTGCTGGAACTGCACCGGCAATGGACCGCACTCGGAGCAGTCGCCCGGGCACGCGTCGGCGCTCTCGCCCGCTTGACAGAACCCATCACCGCACTGTGGCGCCACTGCCTCCCCCGAAACCCTTTGAGTCCATCTTATTAATAACGAAGACCATAGCGTGAGAGGCGTACGCGAGCAGTTGGCAAGATGGGGGCGGTAGGTCCAGGAGTGTTGACCCGTCAAGTTAGATGTGATGTACACTTGGAAGTGTCGGCCAGCGGTGATCAGCTCGGCGGGCGGTGCTGTGCGCATACTTCGCTGTGAGCGTAGAGTCGCAGTGGAAGTGAAAGAGAACGAGGAAGACGTACAGAACGCGACCCAGAACCACCCGTTGGCTTGAGTGACCGAGTACCCCACGTATTCTGCTCTGGTGAAGTTGTTGCTCAAGTCGAACAACGACAGCGTCGTTGTTGCCGAGTCTGGTGGTCGTGTGAGCGTCCTTGCTCAGCAAAAGCGGTGCAGCGTGGGCAGGCACGGAGAAAAAGGAATGACCAAACAGTTGCAGTAGTGTACCGAGGGGCTGGGTCGTGGCGAACTGCCAGTGAGGGGTCTTCAAGGCCGCGATCTCCATCACCCCGTCTGGTGGGAACGCAAACCAAGCCGAAGCCGAGGGTGCCTGCAGGACGCCCCGCGGGTTAAGCGTCGCGGGCCAAGAAAGCTCGAAAAGAGCATCATCATAATCACCGATGGCCTACGTACCAGGGCGGTGGTGGCATTGGTGCGCATGTGGAGCGCTTGGCCAACTCCGGGGGCCAACGTCTGGTTGCCGAAGGTCCCGACGCCGATGTCGGTCAACTCCGGGTTGAGAACTGGTCACACGCGGTTAATTGGGTGAGAACAGCAAACAGCTGTTTGGCGACTGCGTGTGCGTGCGGCGGTGTGTGTGTGTGTGTGTGCGCGCGCGGGGGTATGAAGTGTGATTATGAAGGGAAATGAGCTCAGTACTTTCTTGTGGGTAGTTGTAGAGGTAGGCGCCGCTCACGTCGAACAGGGGGTTCAGCGCGCTGACGTTAGCCAGCCTGATCTGCTGCGACCAGTCCACAAGCTCGATGGTGATGCATCGTTGGAGGATGTAAGCCCAGACCACGGCCTGAGCCTGGGAGTGCTTGGTGGCGTTGGCCGTCACGTTGGGCAGGCCGGCCACCCCGCGGTACCAGTTCAACTGCCCGAGCACGTTGGCCTGGTCCCCCGCCTGGTCACACCGAGAGTTATCCACGTGAGCTGAGCAGCATTTCACTGAAATGATCATACAGTACCTTTGGTGTAATCAATTTATTTGAAGAATGATAAAGTGGGAGAATGATAGAAAATCATACAACTTGTTGGGGCAGGGAGGGTACTTTCATCGCGCCGGGTGAAGATGTCGAACAATTGTCTGTGTAGGCACCACCGGTCCACTGGGGCAGGTTCTGGGTATCGGGCCGGTAGCGTGCGTCCCAGAGGGCACACGCATCAGAGTAGGAGCGAGGAACGGCCGCGTCGGCCCAGAGAAGGGCAGCTGCGACCAGCACCACTAGCAGAAGGAATCGCTCGGTTGACTGCATGAAGGGGTGGACGTGCGTTGAGTGGCGGGAGGTTTGCGATACAAGAGAATTGGGAGAACAATGGCGATCTGGCCAATGAACGCGTTCCCACTTTTCGTCCGAGCAACCACTTGGCACGCTGCCATTGGCTCCACATTTGACCAGGCCAGCGATGAACCGGGACCACTACCACACCGCCGCGACTACAGCACGGCCACCTCGCCACGGGCAGCGAGGCAGAGCTGGTGTGATGTTGTGCTTCGGGGAGCGGCGGCGTACCGGCGATGAGGGCGGTGAGGAGTGTGGCTGATGTGGTCGCCACCGCAGCCCGACGACGGCTAGATGAGCACGGCGTACGAAGAAGTGGACGACGTTGCGCTTCCGTGCGGCAGGCACTCGCGGTTCTGGTTGAAGTTGATCTTCACCTGGAACGTGGATAGCGAGCATCTGTGTGAGTTTTTGTTGTGTGTGTGTGTGTGGGTACGTCAACATTGTAAGTCGTGCCTGATGACCAGATGGCGCCGAAGGCATCCTTGCTCGTGGGCTGAGAACGGAGCTAACGGCTAACACCTCCTAACGGGCCACAAGAAGAAGGAGAAGGAACCGTAGAAGGGCTAGAGGAGTGGGAGTGTAATGAACGCAGACCGGGCTCCATAATTTAAATTGTTTTCAAGCCCAGCCGGCCGATCGCCACTGCGACACTGCGTCCGATACCTTACCACACAGCTTTGTAGCTTTCGGCTCCTTGTGTATCGCGCGTGCACAGAACGATGCACTTTCTGAG